ACACACACACACACACACACACACACACACACACACACACACACACACAGTCTGCAGGCCTGATCTCATTACTACAAAATGAGACAACAAGAGATTTCGCTCAGAGAAAACGAAAGTAGAACGGGCTTCATTTGTTTTATTCACTTTAGTCCCACATATTTATTTTTATTTTACTTGAAGTTATGTGGAATACATTTCTGTGTGTACAGTTGTTACACAGCTGTATATCATACCAACAAATACAGCTTTGTCAAGAACCCCACACATTTTCAAACACGCTTAAAGGTTAATTCAAACTATTTTAATTTGGCTTATTGTGATGTTCTTGCTCCTAGCAGCTTACACCATAGCTGTAATTAGCAACTAAAGTTTATTTTATGGTTGGCACATATAATCTATTGTTATACATTATTCTTTTCTTCTATTTCTTCTGAATATTGATCTAATATATGTATTTATTTTCTTTTTTCTTTTAGTTGTTATTGTTAAATTCTTTTAAGAGCTATCACTAACTTTATTTGTTTTTATGCAAATAAATAAACTAAAATTAAAAGGGTGTGTCTGATATTCTTAGGCCTATATTTTTAGAATCTGAAATAAACAGCCACATAAAAGCCTTTGTAAAGATATGCATTTAACAACTACAATATCAAAGCATTCTTCAGCAATGGATTATATGATTTTTGTAACTTTCCAAGGCTCAGCAGCTTTAAGGGCTTCACACATGACAGGCTATGCTGTGAAGATTCTTTTTAAGCTCCGCCTCCACCAAGAGTTGCCAGAAGCAACAGGAAGCGACGACCCAAAAAAAGAGTGCAGGCTGGAAGAAAGAAAAGAAACATTGGAGGCCGAAAACATAATCTGTTGATTGTCTTCTGTACCTCAGATCCACTGCTGGAGCTGTACACCTCCGCCTGGACCCGACCCGCTTCTGGAGGAGTTCTACGTGGCACACTAGTGAGCATGTCCTCCTCATAGAGCGAAAGTAACGCTCACCTGCTGCAGAAAAGACACGGGCGAGGTAAGTGAAGTATCCGAGCTGTCGTGCTTCATTAGTGTGACACTTGGGCAGTTTGTGTAAAGTGGTACAGATGTGGAAATAGAAGTTGCTGACGGTGAACTGTCTCTGCCGTCTATACTTTTTTACTGTCTTCCTCCGCCACGTGAGTGAACATGTAGGTGAGGAGGGGCAAAAAAAAGTCCGCGTGGCCTGCTGTGGCTTCACTTTTTTAATGCCAGTTTAATCAACAAAGGAGCGCTATGGAGGAGCACCACGTGTCGGGGACAGAGGGCTCTCCGTCTGCCCTGGCCTGTGTCTGCCTCCGCCCACTGGCCGCTAGATTAAATGGATAAATGAATGAAATGTGGGGAAGAAAATAGAGCTGATAATCAATAGGCCACAGACAGCCCCTCTATCTGCTGTTCTAGGCCTCAGTGAAACGTCCAGGTGTTATGCTAAAAGCTGCTCTTTCCTCTGGTGTTGCGTCACCGATGAGGAAACGATGAGAGGGTTTTAGGGTGACAAGTAATGAACAGCCTGACCACTTCCTGGAGGACCAGATGAGGTTTTGCACATAGCCGGATCTTTCGTTATGAGACAGTGAAGCCCTTTCAGTTCATTCTGTAATGCAGTGAACATGTTTTTAATCAAGCTTTTGTGTTGTTGTCAAACGAAGGTGGGGACACTGCAGGGGTAAGAGCCAGATGATAATAACAAGACGATACAGGCAAGAGTTTAGAACAGTGACTTTATTATAGGCTGTAGTTTGCATGCAGAGAGCACTCAGGGGTTTATTTTCTGAATATAAAATATCTGGCTCAGTAAATGTATATGTCAGAATTGACCAGAAATAAAAGATCCTATACTTTTCTGCTACTTTCTTCTTCTCCTTTACTTCATATGAGAGGCAAATCTACTTTTTACACCACAACATTTATTCAATAACTTTATTTGCTAGTTACTTTGCAAATTCAGATTAATAATAAAAATATAGCCAATAAGAAAATTAGGATGTAATATTGTTGGCTAAAATAAAAATGTATTAATCTCAGGGAGTGAAATATACAAGCCAGCAGAAGATCAACCAGTTTAGGGCTGGAAAAATATTCTATCACAATATAGGTCATTTCATATTTCAACATAACATGCATCACAATATAACATGTTTTCTTGTAATTCAGTAAATATATAGTCCATATGAAATAACTACATGGTAATGGCTATTTTTGTGTACTCTGTGAATTAAATACTTAATAAGTTAAAAGTATTTTCTTGTTTATTTAGATATAAATATTTTATTGTTGTTTTTTATTATTAATCCTTTTCTAAAGGAAG